CTCCCCCTCCCGGCAGATAGGAGAGGCTGCCTTTCGCCCCTCTGTCCCTCAAGTAAATAAGCCTGGTGTCCCTCGTCGTCCCAGCAGGCTCGGTTAATAGCATTTTTCTTTTCCAGCCTCCTGCATCTTCCAAAAGTGATTCGAAAGGCCAAGGATTCGAAGCCGGGCTTTTGTTGTTGTTGTTTTAAATCTCAGCTCATTTTTGTTTGTAGTTGCTTCAAAGCTTGAAACTCAAGAACCTCTTAAGTTTTGTATAGAATTGACACGGAGCTCCGCCCAGTCACGCTATTGTTGTACACGTTATCTATTAAGTGCGCCTCTTAAGTCCTTGAGTCAAGTCCCGTGTGCACAGAAATGCAGTCTAGTACATAAAACAACATCGGTGAATTCATTAGTATTATTATTTGTTGTTGTTGACAAAGGGTCTCCCTATGTAACTCAGGATGGTGTCAAATTCTCAGTAACTCCCTTTCCCGAATGCTGGTGTTACAGGCTAACCAAAACCCCCCCCGACCCCCCCCCCCCTTTTTTTTTTTTCCATACAGCTTTTCCCTGTGCAGCCCTGGCTGTCCTGCAACTCACTTGGTAGAGTAGACTGGCTTGGACACCGAGATCCATATGTCTCTCCCTCCCAGAGTGCTAGGATTAAAAGACATGAGCCACCACTGCCCGACTTTAGTCCAGCCCATTTAAGAAAATATTATTGTATTGTTCATTTTTGTAGAGATAGTGTTAACAGTTCTAAATCTATTTATGTATGCCCAGTGGCAATGTGTCTAAAATGTTTACTGCAGAATGTAAGGAGGTGAGCACAGATAGCACTTGGCTTAACAGAGTCGAAATCCACAGATCCCTTCATACTCGCTGGATCTTATCAATATTTTTGTCTCTTTTTCGGGGCGGGGGTGGGGGGGATGGTTGTCATCATGCAGCTTTGGAGCTCAGGAGTCTCCTACCTCAGTCTTCCCCCGTGTTGGGATTGTAGGTGTAAGTCACCATGCCTATTTTTTTTCCCTGTGTATTTTAAATATACTAATTGTTCTTTGCCTTTGAAAGTATAATTATGCTCGAAAAACAAAGGTGTTTTTGTATGCATGTCTTCACTGACCAGTTTTTGTTTTGAGATTTCTGATCCTTGTGTTCAAATGAAATTGACTACTAGAAAAATGCAGTGTCTAATGTCATTTGGTCAGTGGCACTGCTGACCTTTAAGCCCAGCACTCCTCCAGAGGCAGAGGCAGGTGGATCTGTCTCTGTGAGCTTGAGGCCAGCGTGGTCTATAGAGGAGTTCCAGGACAGCCAAGACTATAATGTTTCAAAAAGAAAAAGAAAAAGAAAAATGCAATGTTTAGTTCTATTTGGGAGTTTTTTTGTTTTTTGTTTTTTTAAAGTTTTGTTTCTGTTTTTCTTTTTTCTTTTCTTTCTTTTTTTTTAAGATTTATTTATTTATTATGTGTACAGTGTTCTACCTGCATGTTGCCTGCAGGCCAGAGGAGGTCACCAGATCTCGAGCCACCATGTGGTTGCTGGGAATTGAACTCAGGACCTTTGGAAGAACAAGCAGTGCTCTTAACCACTGAGCCATCTCTCCAGCCCGGGAGGTTTTTTTTTTTTTTTTTTTTTTTAATGCAGAACTTTAGGCATAATCATAATCTCAATTCGATACAGTTTCTTCTCAATAAATATGATTCATCTTGACTTATCACATTTTATGTGTTAGTGTGTTATATAGCAAGTCTTTAGCCCTTTTTTTTCATTGGCAAAATCTATCCTTTACCTGGCTATTCATTTATTATTGTTTATTTGATGGATGTACTTTTGGAAAGAGAATTTGAGAATGAAGTTGCTAATCTGAAAACACTGGTATTTATGTTAGCTATAGCTCTAGGAAAGCCCTTTTGAGTGAAGTTTGAGATTAAGACCTCAAATTCATAAAAGACGTTGCTATTTATGTCACTGGAGAATTATTTCTTATGCCTTCTCTGGAAATTTTCTTTCTACGGAGCAGTGTGTAATCAGACCCATTCAGAGATCTACTATTTTCTAGCCATTGTTTTTCCAGTGTGCCTCTAGTTGTGTAATGTGAACATTAAAAAATAATCACCATAAGAATGGACTTTGGGAGCCCATTTCACATAGAGGGATACTTCCTCAGATTAGACACATGGAGGAGGGAGGGGAAGGCCTAGGCCCTATCCCAAAGGGCATGACAAACTCTTAAGAGCCCCTGTGGAAGGCCTCACCCTCCCTGGAGAGCAGAAAGGGTATGGGATAGGTAGAGTGTTAGTGGGGAGCAGGGGAGGAGAGCGGGAGAGGGAACTGGGATTGACATGTAAAACAATCTTGTTTCTAATTTAAATAAAAAAATGGAGGAAAAAATCACCTAATAAGATATTTGATTTTTCAACATATATTAACAGAAATATGTTGTCCTAGAACTTGCTGTGTAGAGCAGGCTGGCTTCAGATTCAGAGATCTGTTTGCCTTTGCCTTCTGAGTACTTGGATTAAAAGCCTATGCCATCATGCTCAGTCTTCAAATAGTTTTGTTTTGATTTATGTATTTTATGTCAATTTATTTACTTATTTTATGAATGAGTGCTCTGACTGTATGTATGCCTTTATGCCAGAAGAGGGCATCAGATGCCATCACTTGGTCCTGAGAATTGAACTCAGGACCTCTGGAAGAGCAGCCAGAGCTCTTTACTACTGAGTCATCGCTGGAGCCCCTGGAAACACTTTGTAGCAGAGTAATAATACTCCCTTTTATCATGACCCAGTTGTTTTCTTGACTTTGCTTTAGAATGAATCTCTGCTGCATCCCCTGAGGTTCCTGTGCTCAGCAAAGCCAGTGATGCAATACAGTCTTCGTATGTACTTGCTCACAGCTTCATCTTGGGCTGAGATCTAGTTTTCAAGTATCTGAAGATGAGGTTGGTGGACTGTACCCTCTCTGTCTGCATCCTTGGCCTGACCACTCTAAGAACTTTACAAACTTTAATTCTTTCAATCACTCTTACAAGTGACTTACTATTTTTGACTAATAAATGGAACTGGAATTTAGGAACCATAAGCATCTGTTAGTAAGAACTAGTGTTAGAAATAGGGTCAGATTAAAAGTCTGGTCTCTAAATACAGTATTTATGGCTTTAACTTCTTTTACTGCCTTTACACATTAATTAGCCCTACTTTGAAAAAAAATTCCATGGCTCAAAACTAGTTTGGATTTAAAAAAGCCTTCAGGATTTTGAAATTCTTTGTGTGCTCTTGTATATTTTGGCTCATTAAGAAAGTAGCTTTCTCACTGACACCCAAGTTCAGAGGGTCTGGATCAGTCCCATGCTGGCCTCCCAGCCATCTCAGTTCAGTGTTTAGCTGTGGGTGTCTGCCTCTGCTTCCATCAGCCACTGGATCAATCTCTTTATCAGGAAAGGGCATTTAAGGTAGCCTCTCCACTGTTGCTTAGATTGCTAGTTGGTGTCATCCTTGTAGATCTCTGGAAATCTCATTAGTGCCAGATCTCTCCTCAATTCTGTAATGGCTCCCTCTATTATGATATCTCTCATCCTGCTCTCCTCTATTCTTCCCCTGACTCAACCTTCCTGCTCCCCCATTCCTTTCCCCTCCTCTTCTCCTCCTGTCTTTCTCCCAGCTCCCGCTCCAAATCCCTTCATCCTCCCAATCTGCTCAGGAGATCCTGTACCTCTTCCTCTTCTCCGGGGTACTATGCATGTCTCTTTTAGGGTACTCCCTGTTTCCCAGCCTCTCTGGCAGTGTGGGTTGTAGGCTGGCAATCCCCTGATACATGTCTAAAATCCATATATGAGTGAGTACATACCATGTTTGTCTTTTTGTGACTGGGTTACCTCACTCAGGATGGTTTCTTTTGGTGTCATTCGTTTGCCTGCGAATTTCAAGATTCCATTGTTTTGTTTTGTTTTTGTTTTTTTTCCCACTGAGTAGTACTCTATTGTGTAAGGTACCACATTTTCTCTATCCATTCTTCAGTTGAGGGGTGGGTGTGGGGGAGGAGGGGAGGGAGAGGGAGCTGGGATTGACATGTGAAGCATGTTTCTAATTTAAATAATAATAAATTATATATATAAAAAAGAAAGTAGCTTTCTTGGCCTGGCGTTGGTGGTGCACTCCTTTAATCCCAGCACTCAGGAGGCAGAGGCAGTCAAATTTCTGAATTTGAGGTCAGCATTGTCTATGGAGTGAGAGTTCCAGGATAGCCAGGACTGTTACACAGATGAACTCTGGAAAAACCAAGAAAAAAAAATAAAAGTGGCTTTCAAGTAAGAGTAGCAGAAAAGGGATGAAGGGAGGAGAGGAAGGGGAGAAACTGATGTAACTCTATTTCACTTAGAAACATAAAGAAGCAAGTGGCTGAGGACTGGTGAGATGGTTCAGTGGGTAAAGACTACACATGAATTCACATGATGGTGGAAGAGAGACAACTACTGATCATTGTTCTCTGACCTCCACATAGTACTGGAATATGTATGACCTACCCTCCCCCCAATAAATAAATGAAAAAGTAGCTGAGTTCTCCTGATTTCTTCTTCATTTCCATCTTGAGGGATTAGTGTACCAGGTCCAGGTGATGTCTGCTTTGCAGTATTGGAAATGTAATGTGACTTGGGCCAGCAAGTTGTTCTCCAGTGACGGGCTCCTAAGGGTGATAACCAGAGGATGAGAAGATAAAGAAGATCGGAAAGCTGGGATCAGAAGGTCTTGCACAAGCTATGTCTTATGCCAAGCAAATTTATTAAGAAGTTTAGTATCTTATGTACAGTTTCTAGGGAAAAGTGGGACAGAATCAGCTGAAAACTCATACAATATGATGAAGTCAGCAAGAAGCTAATCAAGTAAATTTTTCACAAGATATCTCAAGTGCATCACAGACAAGTGCTCAAAGACTTTGGGACTAATAACTGCAGCCCCTCGAGGAGGGAAAAGTTGAGCTCTCAGGATCTGGAAAACAGCAGCTCCCCCAAGGTCCTGGCCCTAGGACAGTAACAGGCCTTGCTAAGTATGTGCTTGTTTTAGAAAAGGGACAAGTTGTAGTAGAGAAACAGGATTAAAAAGAAAAGAATATAAAGACTGATTGGGAAGGGAACAGAAAGGGGTAAATGGAGAGGAAAATGGCTAAAGATGTATCAGGTGATAAATAGGTAAGTTAGTTAATAGGATGAGGTGCTGGAAGAGTTGGAATGGAGTAGATTTGATGACATGGGACAAAATGGATTGAAGATGAATACAGTTACAATATGAGACGTTAATGATACTGCAGTCATGGCTTGCTATGAAATAGGTAAGGTATTATGAAAAGGGAGTTAATAATAGGAACTCAAGATCATATAGGGATTAATAAAGGAAGTAAGTAATTTCAGAGTTTTAAAATGTGAGTTTGCAGCCGGGCGTTGGTGGCACACGCCTTTAATCCCAGAACTCAGGAGGCAGAGGCAGGCGGATCTCTGTGAGTTCGAGGCCAGCCTGTTCTCCAGAGCGAGTGCCAGGATAGGCTCCAAAGCTACACAGAGAAACCCTGTCTCGAAAAACCAAAAAAAAAAAAAAAAAAAAAAAAAAAAAAAAAAAAAAAAAAAAGTGAGTTTGCATCTGCGTGTGGTAACACATGCCTTTAATCCTTGTACTTGGGAGGCAGAGGCAGGCAGATCTCTGAGTTCCAGGCCAGCCTGGTCTACAGAGTGAATTCTAGGACAGCCAGGGCTACACAGGGGATCCCTGTCTTGAAAAGAAAAAAAGTGAGCTTGCAGTAGTTGGGTTAAGTACTTGGAGAAAATAAGTTTAATTTAACTTTGGGTAAAGTGATGTGTTGTACAGACATGAGCAGGTAAAACTCTCTTACACTTAGAATAAAACAAAGCAAAACAAACCAGAGCTAATTCCTCCTCTTTGTACTTTGGAGCTTTTGATGTTATTTTGAGACAGGTCTCAGTATGTAGTTCTGGCTGTCATAGCTGTATAGATGAGGCTGGCCTTGAACTCACAAAGATTTGCCTCCCAAGTGCTGGGATTAAAGTTGTGTACCCTATGTCATGAAAGCCAATAGACCTAGGTCAGTCTTCAGAGTCCACCTAGAGATAGTCTTCACAAAGTCCTCCAACCTCCCACTTCCTCTTGGGTCCATCCCTACCCACATCTTCCTTTGCCCATGGAGTACAGTTTGTGTTTCCCAAACTCTTGGGTGTGGAGCCCTTCCCCTACCAATGGTCACACCTTTAAAGAAAACTGACTCTCCCTCTCCCATCGACTATCAATTGTCACTAGTTCCTCAGCTAGGAATGAGACTTTGTGATCACCTCCCTCTTCCATGCTCCGATTTGTGTCTGACTTGTGCTTGCACGTGTAGTCTTCTCTGCACCCTGACCAGTTGTGGGTTTTTGTGTTAATCAGCATATACTACAAAAAGAAACATATACTACAAAAAGGATTGAGAGTTGTGCTTGTCTGTGAGTGTAATAAGCCAGGAGGGATTTAATACTCTGTCCCTTTAGCAGAACAATAGTAGTAGGTGCTCCCTTAGGTCCAATGAACTGTCTAGCCTCAGGTTCTTGGTCCAGATAATGGTGTCTGAGTATGGGTTCCATCTTGTGGAGAGGCCCTTAAATCCAATCAGAAAGTTGGTCCCATGGCATCTCTGTCACTGTTGTACCAGTGGGCATGTCTTGTCATGCTAGTGGTTACTTAGCTCACAGAGTTGTTTGGTGGATAAGGTTATTGATTCCTTTCCTTTTCCAGTAGTGAGCACAGCACCTTCCATTACTATTAGAGCTGGCCTGTAGGGAAAAAGCTTTAGTTATAAACATGCCTTATTTGTATAGGCACCAGAAAACTTTTACCATCTTATCAGACTTAATTTGTGCCCTTCCCCAGTTAATATTCCCTTTATTCTCTATATCTTCTATTGTTCAAAATAGTATCATCATAGATTTGTTCTAATTGTAAAATGTCACAGTTGTGCATTTGATTTCCGTGGAGCAGAATGTCTGTGAGACATTCTGTGCTTAGAGGTAATCCTTGTCATTTGTTAACCCTGCAGCTTTCCTTGGTACAAATATGTTGATACATTACTAGTGGTAGATAATCTAGGTTGTTTCCAGCTTTTGGTTATTAAGGACACAGATAGCATGAACATTCTTGTTTCTCTTGGTTATTTGTCTAGAAGTATAATAGGTACTGAGTAAAGGCAGGTAAATATCTAACAGACACTGCCAAAGCATATACACTCATTTAACTTTTCCTGGCAGAGTATTAGTCTTTTTCCAATATTTGGTAATGATAGTCTTTTAAATTTTATTGTCATTTTAGCTATTATTTCCCTAATGGTTGTATCTTGACTATTTGGATATACATGTATACATACATACATATATAGTATGAAATGCTTGCTCAAGGCTTTTGTCCAATTTAAAGATTGAATTTTATTGTATTTATTCATTTTTCCCTTTCTTCTGTCCTGCCTTCCCCTGCCTTGCTAAGCATGTGTTCTGCCACAAGTACATGCCTCAATTTTAATTTTTTTATATTTATTTATTTTGGGTTTCTCTGTAGGCTTTGGTGGCTGTCCTGGAACTATCTCTTGTAGACCAGGCTGGTCTCGAACTCACAGAGATCTGCCTGCCTTTGCCTCCAAGTGCTGGGATTAAAGGCCTGCGCCACCACTGCCCAGCTACAATTTTTATTTTTGAACAGGATCTCACCATTAGCCCTGGCTGCTTTGGAACTTGCTATGTAGACCACCAGGCTAGCCTTGAACTTACAGAGATCCACCTGTTTCTTCTTTCTGAGTGCTAGGATTAAAGGTGTGTTCCACCATGCTGCGAATTATAATTGCTAAGAAATCTTGGATTGTGTCTGATTTGCTCAGTGTTATTTATGTTCAGTGCCTAGCAAGTGAGGAACATATGATAGCCATTAAGTAGATATTTGCTGATTGAATGAGAGAATTCATGCAAGAAAAACCCACAGAAAGTCTGAAAAATGCTGATGAGTAAAGAGTTAAAGTATTTCCCTTTGTGTGGCATGTGTATGTATGTGATAAAACTGGAAGGAAATGTTTCTGTAGAATACTGCCAACTTCTAGATAATCTCACCTCTGTTCTCTGTCATAAGATCTGCCCAGTCATCTGATTCTACCATGGGTATTTTTATTAGGAAATTTCTGTTTAGTTCTTTCTTTCTTTTCTGTTTTTTTTTTTTTTTTTTTTTTTTTTTTTTTTTTTTTTTTTTTTTTTTTTTTTTGACAGGATTTCTCTGTGATACTGCTCTGGCAGTTCTGGAACTCACTCTGTAGAGTTCCAATTTACAGAGATCCATAGCTTCTGCCTCCCGAGTGCTGGGATTAAAGGTGTGTATCACCACTGCTCTGCTACTTTTCTTTCTTTCTTTCTTTCTTTCTTTCTTTTTTCTTTTTTTTTTTCGAGACAGGGTTTCGCTTTGGAGTCTGTCCTGGAACTAGCTCTTGTAGACCAGGCTGGTCTCGAACTCACAGAGATCTGCCTGCCTCTGCCTCCCGAGTGCTGGGATTAAAGGCGTGTGCCACCAATGCCCGGCTACTTCTTTCTTTTTTAATTGTCCTTGTGCACATGTTTACTGGAGGCATTTGTGACAGTCTGTCACATTGATATATGACAAACTTTTAGGTCTTTAGGCGTAGCCCTTTAGTGTCTGTAAAACACCAGTGTACTTTAATTTTAAGTAAGGGATAGATAGAAAAGGATCCTGTTCAGTAAGTTATGTCATTCAGATGGTAAATAATAATTTTTATTATGTCTTTGGTTTTTGTAGAGATTGTCACAGAGAGAAAAAAGAAAAAGTCATCAGCTGATTTACAGGAGGTATGTGTTAATGTGTTTATCATCTTTAAAATTACTCACACCGGTATCATTTTGCTGTTTCTTTTTAATATATAAAATGCTGATTAAAGTTTTACTGTGCATTTTTAATTATACCAAAAGGAGCCAGGCAGTGGTGGTATGGACCACCTTTAATCTCAGCACTTAGGAGGCAGAGGCAGGTTCGAGGCCAATCTGGTCTACAAAGTGAGTTCCAGGACAGCCAGGGCTACACAGAAAAAAAGCCTGTCTTGAAAAACCAAAACAAAAAGTAAAATAAAATAAAACCAGAAATTTTTTTCCTTCATTAATTCTTTTTTTTTTTTTTTTTTTTTTTTTTTTGTTTTTGTTTTTCGAGACAGGGTTTCTCTGTGGCTTTGGAGGCTGTTCTGGTACTAGCTCTTGTAGACCAGGCTGGTCTTGAACTCACAGAGATCCGCCTGCCTCTGCCTCCCCAGTGCTGGGATTAAAGGCGTGTGCCACCAACGCCCGGCTCCTTCATTAATTCTATAAGCCAAAACTAGCAAAACAATTTTAATTTCTACTTGTATAGCAAGTTTTAAAAATCATCCTTAAAAAAAAGATGATTTCCCTCCCTGGGCATTTTGTGATTTAAACATAGTAATAACCTGATTAACATTATTTACTAGATAACTTGCTTTTCTTTCATCCATGCTTTTTTATTTATGTATAACTGGGAACATCTTTTATTCTGTATTATTTCTTTTTGTTTTTTGAGACAGGGTCTTACTATGTAGCTCTAGCTGTCCTACTCACTATGTAGGCTGGGTGGCCTCCAACTCACAGAGATCTACTGCTTCCCAAGTGCTGGAATTAAAGGCATGCACTACTGTGACCAGCTACATGCTTACCTTTAATTTAGAACTTTCTTTTTATGTTATGCATTTGTAGGATTTGGCAAAGGAGGGTCATGAGAGGAATTCAAGAGTGCCTTAGATGACCATGTAGGGAACATTGCTTTAGGTATTGGTTTCTGTTGGATTCCTTAAAATCTGCAAGGGGTGCTTTCTCCATTTAAAATGTTGGATTTAAATTAAGTGGGGTGAATGATAGAGAGAGACTTTTTTTTTTGTTTATTATTGTCAAATACTGCCATAGCTAGGTACTCAGTTCATTTTCTGTTGCTATTATGAGTATACTTGAGACTGGCAATTTGAAAAGAAAAGGAGTGTTGGGCCAGTGAGATGGCTCAGTGAGTAAAAGAAAATAAGTGTAATTTGTTCACTGTATTGGAGAGCTCTTGGCATTTGTTCATCTGTTGAGAGCCTTGTACAACTTCATCTCGTGACAGGAAGTGGAAGGAAGGACAAGCAGGCTGGAGACAGGAACTTGAGAAAGATTGAGGAGAGAGTTCCAGGATTTCTTTGTAATAATTTGCTCTCTCTTTCTTCTTTTGGAGAAAGAATCTCACTAGGTAGCCCTAGCTGGCTTGGAATTCTCTATGTAGATTAGGTTGGCCTCAAGGTCAGAGACTGTCTCTGCCTCCCAAGTGCTAGGATTAAAGGTGTTTGACACCTCACCTGGCCCTGGAAGGTCTCTTGAGCCCAGAAGTTTGAGGCTAGCCTGGGTGACAGCTCCATAATAGTGAACTAATACATGCTGTCATGTTCTCTTCCCTGACTTCCCTTCCCTTTCCCTCCTTTGCCCTTCACCATTTTCACAGTGTTGAGGGTTGAACCCAGAGCTTTGAAAGTGTCAAGGAGGTACTCTTCCATAAGCTACACCCATTTCCCATACCCTGCTCTGTAGATGCATGGCATCTTTTTTATTTCTAAATAACTTTTGACTCAGAATATTTATAGAAGTTGGGCAGAATTCCTGTGTACTATTCATTTATAATGATAGTATGATTATCAAAAATAAGAAATTAGCCTTATAGATCCATTCCAATATTCTCTACTGTGTTTTGTTATACCTTCCTGATTTCTTTGTCTATCACATTTCTTTAGTCTCATTGCTTTTATAGCCATGACACTTTGGAAAAGTACTAAATAATAATTTGTGTAGAATATTAATATTCCTCAATCTGAATGGACTCTCTCTCTCTCCCCCACCCCCTTTTTTTGTGTGTGTGTCTTACTGTTGATGATGTCAGCCTGATTGTTTGGTTAAGGCAGTATTTCTTGCTTGCTCCCCTGTATGGTTATCATTTTCTCCTTATGATTAATTGATGTCTTGGAGGAGACTGCAACTTAATGCGATGTGGTATTATACTTTGCTCAGTATCTTGGCATCTACTAGTAGATCTTGGTTGAATTCTTTTGATTTTCTTTTATTTATTGCCTTTTGGCCATGATCAAGTATAGTATATATCTTCTTATTCCTTCATTTCTAAATGGAAATTTTTCTGTAAGGAAGAGCTGTCATCCTTCCACTTATTTATATCAAGTTGTTTTCAAATACTTATTTCATTATGTTTATTATAATCTATTCTTAATGATTCTGTTAGTCTAAGTTTTGGCAATAAGGTATCTTTCAGATTAGCTCCTGTCTTCCCGTGTGTGTGTGTGTGTGTGTGTGTGTGTGTGTGTGTGTGTGTGTGTTTGTATGTGTATTCATCTGTATGCAGATGCACATGCAGAGGGCATGTGTGTACAAATCCATTTGAACCCTAGGATCTGTGGGTTTCCACCTCTCCAATGTTAGGATTACAAGTGTGAACCACCATGCACATACACACAAACACACATATGTATATAATGTCTGCATATTTATATATGTTTAATGTGAATTTTAGCCTTCCTGAGCCCTTTTGACATTGTGTTGTTTATTTATTTGAGTGCTTTCTTTTCTTTTTTTTGTTTTTGTTTTTTTAAGACAGGGTTTCTCTGTGTAGCCCTGGGTGTCCTGGAACTCACCAGAGTGCTGGGATTAAAGGCATGTGCCATACTGCTTACTTTTTAGCATTGTAAGAAATATTTTTGGCACTGCTGTTAAATTTTTGTTCAAATTATATATAAAGAAAATAGGAGTATGAGACATAAGACTAAGAGACGTATTAGACATATTATAGGCCCGGCAGAGTAGGGAGACTAAAGGAGAAGAGAAACAGGGTTAATGGCTGACCGCCATGGCTGGTCACCATAGAGAGAGAGAGAGAAGAGAAGCAGAAGCAAACAGAGAAGAGAAGAGTAGAGAGTGTAGAGAGGTAAGTGTAGAGAGTAGAGAGTGAGTGTAGAGAGAGCGTAAATGGACAAGGATCTGTCTTTTAAAGGGGTCCTCTGCACCTGCGTGCAGACTTCGTTCCCATGGAACCCTGGGCTGACCAGGGTACTGCCTGTTCTGCCAGGTAACAGGGGCAGGCCAGCATAATGCTTGTATCTTTCAACTGCAGATGCTAATTTTGTTAGACTGTTGCTGTGCATACTTATGAGAGAAACAATTTAAAGGATGAAAAATTTATTTTGCCTTACAGTTTCAGAGATTTTAGACACTGCTGTTTGGCTATGACAAGGTAGAAACATCATGGAGGAAGGACATGGTGGAGAAAAGCTGTTGCTGACGAGACAGGAAGTGAAGAGGTAGCAGAAGTGGTCCAGGGCCAGAATAGCATGCTTCAAAGGCATGACCCCGTGAGATAGTTCCTTAGCTGGGCTTCACCATCCTTCCTCTGATTTCCAGTTGTCTATTCAGATTTTGAACCCATCACTTAGTTATGTTATGGATTAAGTCAGGCCTCATGGTTTAATCTATGGAAACACCCTCACCGACGTTCAGGTGTGCTCTAATAATCTCAGTGCAGTGCAAGTATCTTTCCGTCCAGTTGACAGTCAAGACTTTTCATCACTCTTACGAGAAGGCCCTGAGTTTGATCCCCAACAGAAGTAAATGCTTTAGAGATACTATTTTTTCGGAAGTGAAGTGGAGCCTATCCTGGTACTCACTCTGGAGACCAGGCTGGCCTCGAACTCACAGAGATCCACCTGCCTCTGCCTCCCAAGTGCTGGGTTAAAGGGGTGCGCCACCAACGCCCGGCAAAGAAATGCTTTTTAATACAGAAAAGCAATAACTAGGAAGTTACTGGTACTCAGGAAGATTAGCTATCCCTTAGTGATGTAAGCTATTGATGTTAGGGTTGCGGTATACTTTCTTCAAATTTATTCTGTCCTCCTGATTTAGGCTTTCTTCTCATAGAAACACTTATGGGGAGGAGGGTTTTGGTAATTGAACCTAGGGCCTTAATGTACATGTTATGCCCGTACTCTGCTGCTGAACTTTGGCCCCTTGTAAGTGATTACTGTATGTTAATACTTATTTATTTATTTATACATTTTAGGTATTTACATTTTAAACAATGGATTTCTAACTTGTTGCATTTCATGCATTATTTTTAAAAAAGATTTTATTTATTTATTATGTATACAGTGTTCTACCTACATGTATACCTCCTGCAGGCTAGAGAGGGCACCAGATCTCATTATAGATGGTTGTGAGCCACCATGTGGTTGATGGGAATTGAACCCAGGACCTCTGGAAGAGCAGGCAGTGCTCTTATCCTCTGAGCCATCTCTCCAGCCCCTCATGCATTAATTTATAAAGTTTAACTGCTGTTAAGTTATAAAGTACTGGGTGTAGTAGACAGAAGCTTGTAATCCCATCTCATGGGAGACAGGAGGATTGCCACAAGTTTGAGGCCAGCATTGGTCTGATTAGTAAGTTCCAGGTCAGCTGGGGCTATATAGAAAGACCCTTTCTCAGAAAACAGATAAAAGAGAAAGAAATGAATGACCAGTACCCTCAGTTTAGGAGGATTATGTAGTTTGAAGAAGACTGCTATGTAGATAAATACTGTGATATGCTACGAGTTAATATAAATAATTTAAAATAAATGTGCTGAGCACAGACACATGGAGAAAGGAGTGGCTTCAAGCAAGGATGATGCTTATGAAGACAATTTTCAGACAAATTCAGAGTATTTCATAAAAAGAAATACAGGGAAGAGCAGCCTAGGTTGAAGAAATCGTGTATAAAAATAGCTAGAGATATCAAATAATGCAACATGTCTGAAGTTTAGCAACTCCATAGAGTTGAATTACAGAATTTTAAATCTGTTGGTCATATGAAACATTCCTGAATCTAGAGTTTTACATAGAAATGGTGGATGTCATTGTTGTATTACATAACTGCTTTAGATAGATTAGAAGGGGGAAGAGACCAGGCAAAAGCATAGTATTTTGGAAGCTAGTGTGACTCTTTACCTGATTTCATGCTCATGAGAAGATATTGTTAATACAACTGTATTTAATGAAATCTTCAAAACTGTTAAGAGTATTTATGTAGAGCAATAGCCAATGCCTCTCTTAGTTGACTCAGTTCCTCTATACATTTCAGTTAAACTAACTGTTTTCTTGTCCTGGTTTCAGATAACAAAGTTGTTAACTGTACAGTCAGAGGATGCCCTTGCTCAGTCACCGTTGTCCAAACTCAGAGGCTCAGAGTGCTGGAAGCTCCCCAAGGGGGTAAACTCACTTTTAAAGTACATCATTTTGTTTGCTGTGTCTACAATATTTTAGTAAATAAATTTTATTTTCTTATGTATCCCTTTTGATTTTCTGTGTAACTAAAGATTTTATAGTAGCTTATGTCTGATATATGTTAAAATAAAACTTGGAGATTAGGATCTTGGGCCTTCAGTTTAAGTATTCATATGCATGGTTGATTTATGAAATTTCAATATCATTATTATAAAAAGAAATCATTTTAAGGTTTAGTGAAATATTTCTTTTTCTCTAATTTTTTAAAATTAATTTGTTTAAAAAGGTATTTCCTTTTTTTTTTGAAACAGGGTTTCCCTGTGTAGTCCTGGCTGTCCTGGAAATTGCTCTGTTGACCAGGCTGCCCTTGAACTTAGAGATCGTCTGCCTCTGCCTCCTGAGTGCTGGGATTAAAGGTGTGCCCCACCACACTTGGCAAGAGGGTATCTTTTTTTTTTTTTAATTTATTTATTTATTTATTGTGTATACAACATTTTGCTTCCATGTATATCTGCACACCAGAAGAGGGCACCAGATCTCATAACAGATGGTTGTGAGCCACCATGTGGTTGCTGGGAATTGAACTCAGGACCTCTGGAAGAACAGTCAGTGCCCTTAACCTCTGAGCCATCTCTCCAGCCCGAGGGTATCTCTTAACTGAGCTATAATGGTATAAAGATACTCTGGGGGCTGGAGAGCTAGTTCAACGGTTGAAAAGTACTAGTTACTCTTCTGGAGGACTTGGGTTCAGTTCCCAGCACCCATGTGACAGCTCACAACTGTCTTTAACTCCAATTCCAGGGGATCCAATGCCCTCTTCTCACATCTGCAATCATTAAGCATGTACCTGGTGCACAGATGTCCATGAATAGAAAATACACACATACACACACACACATACATACACACTTATTTATTCACAATAAATAAGTGAAACTTAAAAAGAAAGATAAATGTTGTGAAAGAGATTATGATTATATGTCTGGACTTTAATATTATCATGATTTGTTATTGGTGTAGGGTTCTGATAATTAGTTACCTATAGTAGCATTTTGTTATTCTTGCTGTTTGAGATGGGAACCCCCTCTCTTGGCATCCTGAGTGTCCAGGACTACTGATATGCACTACTGCACCTGACTCAGCTCTTCTTTCTTTTTTGGGACAGTCTCACAAAGTAGCCCAGACTGATTTTACATTCCTAAACTTCCTGTTTCAGCCTCCTCAGTACTGCTACTGTGTCTTGTTTTGCCATGTGTATATAATGTGCCTTGTGTTAATGAGTGGGGGGGTATGGATACATGTGTATGCAGATAACAACTTCATTGGTTCTTCCTCTGGTACTGTCTACCTTTTTTAAAAGAGGCTCACTCACTGGTCTGGAACTCACCAAGTAGGTTACGCTGGCTGCCTCGAGACCCCCAGCCATCCCCTGGTACCATGATTGCAAATACATGCCACCACCCCTCCTTTTTGAAAATGTGGGTCCTAGTGTTTGCAAGGCAGGCGCTTTATACCTACTGAGCTGTCTCTCCAGTCCCTTGGTCATTTTAAAAATAGGTGCAACTAATTATTTTAGTAAATAATTGAAGTAAGTAATAATTGAAGTAAGTAATAATTGAAGTAATTACTTACTTCAATTATTGCTTGAAGTAACTTTTTAGATTGTTTTTCTTTTCTTTTTTTAAATTCTGGGAAAGGAGATAATTAATTAAAGAAGAATGACAGAGGAACTTAGAGGTTTGCCAGACTTAGCATGTGACCCAGCAGTAGGCTTTAATGGGACAAAAGGGAAGAGCAGGGGCTCTGTGATATTTTATGGGTCACTTACATAGTAATCCTCTCCCAAATTCCCAAAGTCTAGTCTTTTCTGAGCATGCTTCAATGGTTGAATGAAGTCTGAGCAGGCTGAGGGCTGCCACATGCTAATATGGCACACCATATGCTAATCTCCTCCACTCAGGTCTTCTCAGGCCTCTGTGTTGCTGATAGTCTTGCCCATGGACCAGCTTAAGGGACACTCTTCCTGCTGCAGGGTCACATGAGCTCTCAGCACTAGTTTTTGCGTTTTCTTGTTTCACACTCTTTCTATGATCTTTCATCTGTCTGTAATGCTCTCGCATGTTATCCCTGCAATTCTTTGGCAGCTACGTGGTGTTTCTCTGGCGGCTCCTCTCTTTTCCTCTTTTTCTCTTTCTCTTTCTCTCTCTCTTTTTTCTTTTCTTTCTTTTTCTTTTTCTTTTCTTTTTTTGTAGTAGGCTTGAACTTAAGGCCTTGTGCTTTCTAGGCAAGTGTTTTACCACTGAAGTATACTCAGTCCTTTTCTTAACTTTAAAAAATTCAAGACAGGCTCTTGCTAAGTCACCTAGTCTGGCCTTTTACTCACATTGTCCAGGCAGGCCTTAAGTTCTTGATTGAAATTACCTTTTTGGTGTCTACAAGTATTTTTTTTTTTTAAATAATTTTGTAGGACTTCATTATATGGAACATCAGACAGAAATCCTGCTGCAGCAAGCATCGTGTATATGTATGAAATATGGAGAGCCATTTTTTGAGTGGGACCTTTTAGGAAATTGTATATTAAATTTCAATAAATATTACAAGATTGTCTCAGAAAATTTGGACCAGTTTATGTTGCCACCAGTGAGAGCACTGAATTTTTTACAAACTTACCAGTTCTAGATACTGTTAGAGCCCCGGAAAAACTCAGGTATCCGTGGTCCCAGGCCATGACCTCGGTCACCCCAATCACCAGGCAGATTCAGAGAGCTTGCTGCAAACTGCATGAGGCTTTATTGTTTTTTTAATGCGTTAACTCCATGTTAGCTCGGGTCTTTCACCCACCCACCATCGAGGATGGCTAGCAAAGACCCCTCGAACCAGCTGCCGAGCAATCTTGTAGGGTAGCGTAAGGGGAGTGTGTAGGGTATGTACAGGCTCAGGATTGGTGTGCCTCCAGGCTTGGAGGGCTTGCCCTGTGTTGATTGGCCAATTGGTTGTTATGGCCCGTAGGCCCTCCCAGGGTGGTTGCTATGCTCTGCACGTCATTGCTGTGCGCTTGTCTGTAAAGTACACCCAGAGTCGTAAAGCATAGCGCTACCAGCTAACTTCTGATTGGTTCCTTGTCACGAGGCAGGCACCTAACCTCTAGTGACTAAGGCAAGGTCATAGTGAGCACGTGTTACTGTCATGGCTGCCGAAATGGGGGGCTGGTCCCTTCAATACCATCACAATAATGACTAATTTTGGTGCTCAGGTTGCCTCAATTGAGAACTGCTAATGTGATTAGAAAAGCACACCTCTGGGTGTGTCTGTGAGGGAGTTGCCAAGTGATATATCACAAGGATTAGTGAATGGATTAGTGCCTTGATGGATCCATAATTTGGTAGTATTACTGGGAGATGGTGAAAAGTAAGAGGTGGGGGTTGGTTGGAGAAAGGTTGCTGGTGATATTTCTTGGACCTCTCTTTTTCTGTTCTTTTCACCACACTGTCCCTAATCTGATAAATAAACATTTCTGAAACCTTCATAAAAAGAAGGAATTCCTCTCTTTTAGACGTGTGTCAGGTATGCAAAGTAATAAATAAAATCACAGTAAAGTGGTTGCCATTTGAAAGGTAGAAAAGTAATCTTGTTTGTTTTGCTTTGATAGTGGCTCCCTGTAGCCCATCTTCATTTGTTAGAGACAGCTTTAAACCTGTTGTCATTGTGCACGTCTGGTATCCCCTTCTTTTCTGTGACAAACTTGTAGATCTCTCTGAATGTCCACAAGAAGTCATGGGGTAGTCTCAGCTTATCCCCATGTTCATGGCAGAATAGCCTTTCTTTTGATTACACTCCTTTGTAGGAACCATTTGTTTGGCTCAGGTTGGGAAGAAAGAATTCTAGGGATTATGAGTTTGCTTTTCCAAGATTAGTCATCACTGGAAGACCTACCTTGAATAAAAAAAAAAATGATTATTTTTTTCCTGTGTGTGTCTGCCCATGGTGGGGCATGCAAGTGCCAGAGCGTGCATTCAGAGGTCCAAAGACAACTTTGTAGATGTAGTCTGTTCTTTTCTACCACTTTGATGAGGGTGGCTCAAAGTGGGAGTTGAACTGAGGATGCCAAACCAGTGTAGCAAGTGCTATTATGTAAGAGCCATCACAGCAGCCTGCTGTGCCTTGAGTTCATTGTTTTTGTTTTTTTTTTCCAAAACAATGTCTCTCACTGTAGCTCAGGGTAACCTAGAACTCACCATGTAGCCCACACTGGCCCAGAACTTGTAGTAATCATCTTGCCTCAGACTCCTGAAAAATAACTAGATTATAGAATGTGAGCCACCTTGCCTAGTTTATAGTATTAAAATTATATTAAGATACTTTCTGCTATTAAGATTGTATAAGAAGGATCATTTAAGAGTGTGTACTGTTCTTGTAGGATCCTACCATCCAACATCAGGTAACTACTTTTGTTTTCGGTGGGTACCTGCACAAAGATACATAATTAAAATATAATTAGTAAATTGCCTTGTGAACTCATGTAGCACCTTAATTTCTCATCTTTTTATACAAGGACATTTTTATTCAAAGATAAATTGTATGTTGAACATATTTTCCCACATATTCCTCTTTCTCCCTCTCCCTCTTTCCTTAGTTGTCTTGTTGCCCTAGATAGTTTCACTTAAACTTTCAGATACAAGATTTTGTATATCTGTATAACATCTAGGAGTAAGTAAAAACATATGGATAAAAACATATTATTTTTGTCTTTCTGAGATTGACTTAATTTCCTTAATGTGAGTATTGAGTTGTATCCATTTTGCTTCAAATGATATAACTTCACTGACTTCTTTTTTGGGGGGGCAGGGAAGAGAGGCTCCCTGACTAGGAATCCAACCTGTGCCACAGCAGTGAGAGTCCCAAATCTTTTCTTTTCTTTCTTTTTTTTTTTTTTAAAGATTTTTATTTATTTATTTATTATGTATACAACATTCTGCTTCCATGTA